AGCTGCAAATGATGAACATTATTTATCTTACAAATTGTAAATTATCCAAGTTAATTTCAACGGGTATAATGCTTAAGGTGATAAAAAATGGCTTCGGAAGAACAACCATCGAGATGTTTAGACTTTAATAAGGATGAATATATGTCTATTTAGAATCAAAATTTCGCAAGTTCTAATTCATATCCTTAGTTTTCTCTTAAAAAACTAGCTTCAAATCTAAATCATGTTGCAAAATTAAATTTTTTGTATTTAAGTTATACTTGGAATAACATTTTTAAATTTCAGGATAGGTCAACATCAATTTTATGAGTTTAGTGATCAAAACTCGACCACCTTAAAGCATAGTAAGCAATAAAAGACGTCTTCCAAAGTATAGAGAGTAATCAATGGCGCATTTTTACGTTGCAATTTGCATAATGATGTTTGGACGCCACCTATGCATTCTATCTTCCATGTCACTAATTTCGTTAGAGTTGTGAAATAGATGTCATGTCAGTGAGTAACACTCAATATATTCATAATTTTATTGGTCAAAACTCAGTATTTGAAAATTTAGTAAGCAGTCGAAGACATAGACATAAGTTTAGTGATTATTGTGATAATTAATTTGAGTTTTTTCTTGTCTTCTTTTTCAATTATTTTCTATTTTTTACTTCAAATTATTATTTTTGGTTGGAGTGTGACTCGGTTTATTTGGTTGCCATCCTGTTTTTCCTTTATCCCATGAAGTTCTGTGGGGGTGGCATCCAACATGCTGTGGATTCCTCAAAACGATAAGAGTTTTGTTATTTGTATGTCAGACCCTTAGTGTACAGTCCCCTCACAATAGGGGGCTCATGCCAAATAAAAAATCGTGGACCCCCCCGTACATTTAGCAAAACTCGATATGATAATCGCATGGAAATTATCTTAAGGTACTTTCATTTAATATCAGATTATTTAACCTCGAAATTCTATGAACTATGCTACATGTACAACCATGATTGACAACTTTGTTGACAACTAGGAGTTGTTAAGAATCTACATCAAACATTTTAAAAACTGTTTTTTTAAATCAACGGCACGGATCTCGACAACATGTGAATTGTCAACAAAGTTATCAACAAAGATTATACAAATAGCTTTATTCGAAATTCTTTGGACTTATAGATTTAAGTTCAATATGTACGTAAGATGATTATTATCATTGAGGTGAACACATATTGATTTTGATGGTCTTTACCTTATTTTTAAATTAAATCATTTAAAACGATTTGATGGTTTTTACTTTATTTTTAAAATAACCCATTTAAAATGGAATTTGAAGCGTTGATAAACAATAACAGGCATATAAACTAGATTTAGACAGGGCATTTGGTAGAAAATGGCTTTGTGTTTATTGACTATCCCATAGCACTAAGCAGAGTCTGTAAATTCTAAAATCTAAATAAATTAAAAAATATGGATTTTAATTTCACTATTATATTTATGGACAAATGTCAGTTAGTTAGAATTTTCTACACTCAGTTTCTAACAAAATTCTAACTAGTACGTATAGGATGTGCTGTGTTCATGAGTTTTACCTAGATGTAAAATTTAAATAACAAACTAAAACCAAAACACCAGATATAATGTGGTAAATCCAAAGGGAAACATTCATAGCTCCCTTGCCATGGGTAAAACAATTCACTAAATTAAATAATAAAAAATACAATAGTATCGGTCGCAAAATTAACAAAAATAATCAAAAAAATAAAAATAAAAAAATTAAGAACAACTCTCTTGTTTTTCCTTTTTTTGTTGGATGAGTATGTTTTCATAGCAAGTCAGGCAAGTTTCCACCAAATAGCATCCATGCACAAAAAAATAAATTGTGTTGTATGCAAGTGATACTTGGAACATCATTTCTAAATTTCCAGGATAGGTTAGCACGAGTTTTACAAGTTTAGTGGTCAAAACTGGACTACCTTAAAGTATAATGAGCAATCAAATAAGTCTTCAAAAGCATAGTAAGCAATTAAAGATATCTTCCAAAGTGTAGCGAGGAATCAAAAAAGTTTTTTCTTTTTACGTGACAATTTGCATAACAGTGTTTGGGCACCACTTGTGTAGCTCGTCATAATGTCATCGATTCTACTAGACTTGTAAAATGGATGTCATGTCAGTAAATAACATCCAACATTTTGATAAGTTTAGTGTCAAAACTCGACATCTCAAACTTTAATGAGCAATCGAAGACAAAGATACAAGTTCAGTATTATTGGGACAATTAACTTAAAAAACTCCAAAAAAGTTATGATGCCATCTCTCCTTTTAAAACGCCATCATTTGACCTGTCAAAAAAGAATTAGCGGACACCTCTGTTTGGTTCTTATTTTTTAAAATTTATTTTCAATCAAATTTGCACGTGAATTTATAATTTTTTTTTAACTTTTTAATCACACATTTTTCAAAAAATCATTTTCCATAAAATCATTTCATTTCTTAAAAAAATCTATACCAAACATAGATTTAACTTTTATTTGTCAAAGATTTTCAGGTTGCTTAAAAAGCAAATAATAAAAAGAATTCTCTCTCTCTCTCTCTCTCTCTCTCTCTCACACACACACACACACACACACACATTAGATTAGCACCAGTTTTACAAGTTTAATGGTCAAAACTCGATTACCTTAAAGTATAGTGAGCAATCAAAGATATCTTCAAAAATATAGTGAGCAATTAAAGACATCTTTCAAAGTATAGTGAGCAATCAAATAAGCTTTTTTTACGTGATAATTTGCATAACGATGTTTGGGCGCAACTTGTGCAACCCTTCTTAATTTCAATGGTTCTACTAGACTTGTAAAATGAATGTCATGTCAGTAAATAACATCCAACGTTTTGATAAATTTAGTGTCAAAACTCGACATCTGAAACTTTAATGAGCAGTTGAAGACAAAGATATAAGTTAAGTATTATTGGAACAATTAACTTAAAAAACTCCCAAAAAGTTATGGTGCCATCTCTCCTTGTAAAATGCCATCGTTCGACCCCGTCAAAAAAGAATTAGCGGACACCTCTATTTGGTCCTTATTTTTTAAAAATTCATTTTTTTTTCAGATCTTTTTTCAATAAAATTTGCACGTGAACCTATAGTTTTTTTTTTTCTTTTTTAACTTTTTAATCACACATTCTTCAAAAGTCATTTTCCATAAAATCATTTCTTAAAAAATCTATACCAAACATAGATTTAACTTTTATTTGTCAAAGATTTTCAGGTTGCTTAAAAAGCAAATAAAAAAAATTCTCTCTCTCTCTCTCACACACACACACGCACGGGGTTAAATTTCACCAAGGGTCCCCAGCCTTTTATAAGCGTGCCAACCATGTTCCTTGCTTGGGTAAAAAAAAGTTTATTTCAATGTTAAATGATCACGTAATACTAGCGTAAAATCGAATTGAAAGGAGAAAATTATTCGAATAAATTTTCTTTATTCCAAAACAATCTTAATGATAACTTCAACTTTTATAAAAAAATTCAAAAGATGTAAAATTTGTCTATGTTCACAAAATATATTCGATTACCTCAACTTATACATTCGTTAAGTGAGTATCAAGTGTCCATTTAGTCCTTGATTGACTCTTATTTTTTTAAAATTATTTATTTTGAAAGCTCATTTTAATTACACATTTATTGAGTTCCACAATTTTTATCAAAATTTATTAAAATTTTGATTTTTTTAACTAAATCAAACATGACTTAGCCTTTATTTGGTGAATATTAAAATCAAAATTTTAGTAAATTTCGATAAAAGTCGATGAAATGTGTAATTAAAAAATTGTGAATCCCATGAAATATGTGTTTAAATTTAAATGCTGACTTTAATTTATCTTAAAATCTATATTATAATTTCTACCAAGCTTAATTCCAATATACATTTTCTATTAATGAGGATATGGGTGTCATAATATTAAAAGTTTGAGGACACTATCCCTATATATTATTCTCTCTGTACATATAAACGCGCTTTAAATGACGAATGATAGCACCAAAGCATAAAGTAGCCATCACGGTCATCTTCTCCTCCAACTAACCTTTCTCTCTCTAGAAATTTTGGGTGTAAAAATTCACTGTACTATTCTCTCTTACTGGAATGCACAATCTCTCTTCTATATATGTACGTATATATATAGCTCAGAATTGACCCGCTTCGTCTCTCTCTATACATTCTGGATTAGGTGGGGCTGATAAAGCTGGATACAGATTTCTGGTTTGCGGTATTGTATGTACAGGTAAAATTCAGCTTTATTGGTATTATTTCTCTTTTGAGTTTAGAATTTATGGAAAAAGGTTTTTGTGGATCTATTTGATGTGTTGAATTGTGCAGTGTACAATTGAATTTTTTTTCTTATTCTTATTACTTGTATTGTTCTTGAGGGCAATTTACGTGATTTGCTTGAAAAGTCCAGTTCTTTTTACCTTTGGGGGGTGTTTTAGAGATTTTATTTATAGAGAGATTGTTAATCACACTTGGTTTGATTGCATTTCATATATTGATGCTGCAATAGATTTGCCAGTTTATTTTTGCACTTTTTTCTTCTTTTTGTTTGTCTCTTTCAAATGGCAAGCTTAATTGATATACTTTCTTCTATTTCTTCGACTTGCACTTAGTTCTGAGTTTTTAAACCAACGGAAATCTCAGATTTGTGTCATTTTGCGTTTTCAGTACTTGAAAGTTAGAAGAGAAGTTACTAGTATAGAAATAATTGTTATTGGGCCGGGCAATTGAAAATTGGTATCAAGAATCAGTCAGAATCACTAAAGAAGTTTTGAAGTTGAATTGTTCTTTGATTACCTACCAGACTGCTGATTGATAAAACATATTGCTTCCCTTTTTGATTGATAATGGTGTTTACTTTTTAATACAGGGCCTGAAATTCAAAGATTTCATTCTGTAGCTAATGTATTAAAGCTCCCCGTAGAAGCAAGAGAAATAGTATCACATTAGATTTGTAGGACTGGGAAAAGCGTAAGCTCAATGGACACTGCTAGGCGTTGTTTTGGCAAATTACGGCTGAAAGAGAAACCTAAACCATCAAGTAAGAAGGAATCTATACCTAGTGGGAAAGAAGGGTCAAAAACACCTTTGAATGAGGAAATACCTTCCACTGCAACTAAGCAGAAGGTTGAGGCTGCTAAGCAGTACATAGAAAAGCATTACAAGGAGCAGATGAGGAGCCTGCAGGAACGGAAGGAGCGGTAAGACCCTTTTCCTACCATGTAATCCTGATGAGTATTTTGATAATGTTTTCCATGTCAGGATGCTCTAATTATCCTCTATCTATTTATTGATCTGAGTCGCTTGTTGAATCTTTTCATCATACTTCCACATGCTTCTTGTTTTCCCTCATACTATATGTTTGTGGTTTTATCACCAGAACATTCTTACTTATTATGCCCTGAAGCATTGAATATTATGTCGAACTTCCACGTGCTTCTTGTTTTCCATCATATTATATGGTTTTGTTTTATTACTGGAAATTCATACTTTTAATGCCCTGAAGCATTGAATATTTTGTCGAACTTCCATGTGCTTCTTGGCTGCTACCTCTCCCTACTAACATATTTGTGTTCAAGGTCAAATGTTGGATTAGCATGGATACAACACAATGTAATATTGTACATATATCAAAATAGTTTCATGACAATTCAACTTATGGTAAGCATATCGACCAATCTCAACAGTAAGCAAATTGGGAATGACAAAAAGGTAAAGAATATATGAGATTCTAATTGAATGAGCCTCTATGTGTTAAAGTGAAGAACTATTGACTTGCTGCTATCCATTTATTAAAAATTGTGCACATATAAAGCTTTGATGGGAAAAAAATGAACCTGCCTACATTTGAGGGGGCTTGTAAATAATATACATGTGACCTTATCTAACAACTTAATCTTTAAGATCAAGTGGCTCAACAATTATTTTTTCTTAAAAACTCCATATCTTTATCGAAACATTTTCATTTGCTCTTACTAAACTAATAATTACACCATTAATAAGAATCTAAGAACATACGAGATCAACCTATTCCATCTCGTAGGACTACATGCCCCATCTCTAAATATTACCATTGTATTAACTAACTTCACACAAACACATACACTAATTTCAACAATTATATAAGTAAGATTATGAATTAATATCTCCAAAAATAAATTTAAGATCCATGTAGGGTAGTAGAAATCGAAGAATTAAATGCTATAACCATCACCTTCTACCTATATTGGAAGCATAAATTTTTCGGTGCTCCCATCGATCCTATCTCAAAACCAAATTGGAAACTACCTATATTGGAAGCATAAATTTTTCGGTGCTCCCATCGATCCTATCTCAAAACCAAATTGGAAACATGACGCTGGGCAGAATAATGATTATTCTGTAGGCTGAAATTCAACAGGTAATTAACAGAGAAGAACGCAAGAGAAAACGCCAAGAAAACAAGAAATATCTTTATTATTCATCCAACCACCAAAAATAACTCATAAACCGGGTTACATAGCTAAAAAATTATAATTATCGGAATTTTACCAAAAATAGCAAAATCTCAATATTCATAGCAAAAGAAAATAAGTAATAATAGAAATAATATCCAAAAAATCCGGCTCAATTCGAGTTCAAAATCTATGTTAAAAAGGCAAACGAAATATTACTAAAAAATGCAAAAAATAACTTAAATTGAGGATTCGAAAAGGAAAATAGCGGAATTAAATCGATGCACACCGAGCGAAGCTGGTGACCACGACGTGCGCGTCGAAAATAGCTTTCCGAATTGGGGGCATGAGCGCGATTCTGATAACCATAGCCAAAGTTATGGCCAAAATACCGAAACGTGTCTAAAAAGGCCCTAATTAGGAAAGATCGTCGATTACTTGCCATTTTACACTGATCACCAACTCATGGTATCTCAGCGCCATCAACGAGCTATCAGACAACTCAGCATCATCTGACTCGGATCCTCCTGCATCAATCGCCCCGGGTTGAAAAGAACTCACCCTCGAGTTCACATTAGGGTCATCAGAATCCACAAAATAAGGACTTAGGTGCTTCACATTAAAGACATCAGAAGTCTTCAAATGGCTGGGGAGGCGCAGTCTGTATGCATTATCATTGATCTTCTGCAGGACCTCACAGGGTCCAATCTTCCGCTCCTTAATCTTATTACACTCTCCAATAGGAAAATGATCACGAGTTAGAATTTTATTTAACTTTTTACATGTAATGTTGTGGTTATTTTTTAACAGTTCAGTTGAAGGAGTTATCACGCCACTACACGTGCAAAACTAATTATTTTACCACTTTTTTTTCAAAAGAATTCCAGTTGATAAAGCCAGTACAATCTTTCACTTTTTCTATACCATCTTGTGAGTACAGTATTTGATGTCTCTACATTCACAATTTCACTCCATTGGTGACGTTGTTGCTTGTATCTCATTCAACATTCCTCAACACCCAAATCCATCTGAACTACATATTCATCTCAACTCCAATGGTAGCATCATAAAATGCTCTTATCTTTATGAATGCTAATTTCTTAGTTCAGATGATTTATCATGCCTGTTAAAGGGTATTTAGGTCTTTTATGTAATACCTAGGGTCTCCTAAGGTTTTCCTAACTCTTATTATAAATAGTGGGACAGGCTAACGTAATTGTTAAGCCTTCTAATTCTTTTACTTTAACAGA